TAAGAAGCAAGGGCAAGGAGTGGCTTCCTCCATCTTCTAGCCCCACATCCCACATTCGGGTCTCTTTGATCAGGCACAGATTATCCATAAAACCCCTTGGTAAGCTCCACAGGGTTTTCTGGGAGGATTCCACAGATTGAGGGTCCTCCCACCCACCGGTGGTTGAATACCAATGATGGCAGGATGAGGCCCCACTTAAAATCTTAATTGTCCTCAGGCTTGTGAACATCTTTCCAATCCAATCTGGCCTGGACCTGATTGGGATCTCTACCCTGTCGTCTCCTGCTTGCCCACTTACTATGTCCAATCTTGCCTTGTGATGCACTACAATCTGCCAAAGATGTGCTATGTAAGGTATACAGGAAGTTCTTGGTCCATCATGTTTCTGGACATATCTAGGGATCTACAAAGCAGAAGAACCCAACTTAATCTGAAAAAAAAATCTGAACAAAGGAGAGCTGGCATTGTCTCCACTTCAGCTGATTTCACCGTGTGAATGCAGAAGAACCTTTAAAGTTGTACTAAGACATAGAATAAGCAATCTAAACACTTGTGGACAATTTTCCAATTTTCTTTCATCAAACAAGCTATGATTGCAAAAGCTAACAGAGTGCTTTATCTATTCCTTGTTTCAATTTTTGTAATTTGAAATCATTTGCTGGAATAGCATTGTGATGATAAATAGTTCGTTTCATAGCATTGGTAATTTTGGATGGCAATTAATGCTGGAGGTATGTTGTATTGTATAATTTAAGGAGTGCTAAGATTATTGTGGGACTAAGGGTGTTTTAACAATGGAAGAGTCAAAAGGATGTTTAGTCACAGATCCGAAATGTTAACCCTGTTCCTCTTTTCACAGATGCTACCTCACCTGAGGTTATTGACTTGCTCGCTGAGCTGGCTTGCTTTCGTTCAGACATTTTGTCACCATGCTAGGTGACATCATCAGTGGAGCTTCCGATGAAGCGATGTTATTCTACTCCGCTTGGAATTTATTCTGTCCGGTCGGTTATGGTGAGTAGTGTCATTTCCAGTTTTTTGATATATACAAACGCATACAGATCAAAAACCGGAAATGACAGTACTCACCATAACGGGCCACCACAGTATAAATTCTAAGCGGAGTAGAACAACATCGCCTCATCGGAGGCTCCACTGATGATATCACCTAGCACGGTGGCGAAACTTCTGAATGAGCTCCAGATCTTTGCCAAAACTTCAAAAATGCTGCCTCACCTGTTAAGTATTTCCAACAGTTTTTTTTTTTCAAATTTCCAGTATCTGCTGTATTTTGCATTTAAATTGGAAGTCTGGAGGATATGTAGGCAACAATGGCTGAGCATTTCAGCAGTAAATGATCCTGAGGTAGAAGTGAGCACAAGATTAGGAAGGGTGGAAGATGAAAGCTTTAGTAATGGAGAGAGTATGAGGTCATAGGCTCAGCTCAAATCAAATAGAACACTAAGTTTGCCAAAATTCTAGTTCCACCTGAGAAAGTGGCCAGGGATGTCACAGAATTCGTGGCAGAAGTACAGAGTTTATAATGGGTGGTGATCTTCACAATGTTTAATTAAGCTCAACCAAGGCTTGGTGTTGGCCAAACATCTGACAGCACAGGGGCAGTAGAGGGTGAGTTGGGTATAATGTGACAGCTGACCTCGTGTGTGTGAAGGATATCACTAAACACCCGTGCATCGATGGGGAAGAGGAAAGGACTGGGGACAAACTTTGGGAAAATTCCAAAAGTGGGGGTGGAAAGCAAAAGGATTGCTGGAGGTGCTCTGGCTATAATCAAACAGGAAAGGCTGGAGGTAGAACAGTAGGAGATAAGATGAAGCAAAGGTTGGAACTTATGGCTGGAGCAGAGGCACTGGAGAAGAATCATGTGGGCAATTATCTTAAATAATGGATGAAATTTAATGTGGGTGGTATGGGGTCCTTCATCCACTATGAAATATGATGGAACCGTCTTCACCCGAGGGTGGAGACCTGGTGAAGAAAAGCTCCTCATTTTCTATGGGCACTCTGCTGGTGGGATCCCAGCTCTCCCAGGGGTCACCAATTTGCTTTATTAGGAACTCCAGGCTGCTTATCCTACCTCAGGACTGCTTAGTAATCTCAGGTCATGATGTCTTAACCAAAGTTGGGATATGGGATGGTTTATTTCAAGCCTTTCCCTCCGCAGTCCTTTGAGCAGATGCTAACACAGTGAATTGAGGGCCACAATTAACCTGGAAGGCTACTCACCAGACTTCCAGCTCTTAATTTAATCAGAGAAAGGCAAGTTCTCCTCTCCCATCCAATCACCTCGTCCTGCATCTGAACTCATCTCTCGGGAGAGACCATTAGATTACACACAGTGTCTTTCTAAAGTTGGCCAAAGGCCTAGAATGCTTGCAATAAAATCTAAGTCGAAGTAAAACCACTGGGCTAGTTATCTGGAAACCCAGGCTTACATTTTGGAGACGTGAATTCAAAGTTCAGCACGGAAGATGATGAAATGTCACTTCATGTAAAAAATGAAATACAAAGCTAATTTAATGCTAACTATGTTGATTATCATACAAACACATGGGTCCTCTAGTATCCATTTGGGAATGAAATTTACCATCCTTACTTGGTCTAGAACTACATGTGACTTCAGATGGACTGCAATATAACTGACTCCTAACTTCAATCAGTGCAGTTAGGGATGGGCAATAAATGTTGGCTTAACCTGTGACGCTCACATCCCACAGATGAATTTTTAACAAGGAGGCTCCCCATTGATTGTATTCAAGGGAGTAACAGTTCTCCCTTTCATATTAAAGAAAGAGTATTGAGATATCAGAGAAGGAACAAAAACTATTTGCAAGCACTTTACTTAAACCAGTGCCAAATGGAAAAGGCTGAAATGCTTAAGCTCTTTTCCTTAAAGCAGAGAAGACTGAACAGTGAACTAACTGATCTCTTTAAAAGCGGTGATGTTACCAATCAGGAGGAATCCAAAACTAGGAGCCGTAAATGTAAGATAGAGACAAGTAAATTTAATAGAATTCAGCAGAAATATTTTTACACAGTATTTCGAATGCAGAAGTAACTGAGGCATAACAAAGATACATTTAAGGGAAAGCTAAGTCGTGACATGAGAAAGAAAGAAATAGAAGGATAAGGTTCAATGAAAAAGTGGCTCAGAGGCTTATGTGGACCATATTTTAGAGCTTTAATTCTATGTACTCTTCCAAAACTCTCTTGATTCTGTAATTGTGACATTAGATAGGAAAATTGCTAATATCAGTCTGTTTAAGAAGGACAGAAGACAGATCTCAGGTGACAACAGCCGTCAGTTTAAATTCAGTTGGGGGGCAGCTGATACAGTCTGTCATTAAGGGAGGAATCACTGAGCACTTGAATAAATATGGACTGATTGAGAATCAGCATGGTTTTGTTAAAGGTAAATCATATCTGACTAATCTAATTAAATTATATATTCGAGCAATGTCGGAGCTCATGTAAATGTCAGATCCTGAGTTTTAAGTTTATTCATTTTTGACATATCTCATGTAGGCCTGATGTTTAGCCAGAAATCCAAACTTTTTGCTGTCATCAAATTGTCATCACTAGAGGTAAACCTGCCTCAGTGTAAACATAGAGACAACAAGGTGCAGGGCTGGATGAACACAGCAGGCCAAGCAGCA